GATCAACTTTGGCAACGTGTGGAAGCTGCTTGATCTGCTGTACACACATCCAAAGTCTCTTTGAATCAATGCGAAGGTGTGTGGCAGCGGTGATCTCCAACAATGGCGGCTACTCTAGCTACTGATTCTGGAAGGAACCACACTTCACAGAAGTCTGCAAATTTAATCATTTGATACTTGTTCAACATGTTATCTACTAAATAAATTTTGTTGTGATATCTCTTGTCTTTCTTGGTGTTGCAATTTGGGTGGCCAGCAGTGTATATCATAAATACAGAATCGTTCCTTAAGTCTTTTAAGGCAACTATATAACTTGTTTTGTCATTATCAAGTAATCTAGTTTAGTCTTACAAATTATAAAATCAGAATTCAATGAATAATACTGGTCAGCAACAAAATATATTTTTTAATTCAACTACTGGAGGCGATCTTTATTATTGAATTGTTGAACTGAATTTAGTATTGGATATGAAACATGAATTTCTGACTGCTAGCAGGAATTGTTACCAGTTACACTGCAAGAGGATATGCTATGGAAGGAAGTAATTTTGTATATTCTCTCCCACTTAAACTTGGAAGAGATGAACAAGAACCAGCCAACAAAATCGATGTGGTGATGAATTATTATTATACTAGGGAGGAAATTATTTTCTCCTGAAGATAGAAAGATTATTTCACAGAGTAATTTCAACTCATGTGTTTTTCCATGCTTAAATACATACATTGGCAAGAAAAATGAAATACAGTAGCAACATGGCTCATGGAAATTAGCAAGATTTACAGAATCAAGTTTTAATTTGTCATTGTTGTATAAGGTATTTCTCCCACCTTCTTAGCTTGCCTTCGTAGTGTACTGGTCAGCACACTGGGTGCGTATTCCAGAAGTCCGTGTTTCGATTCCCGGCGAGGGTGTTGCTCATTTTTCATGACTCCTGCTTCCAAAAAAGTACCTAATGTCTTTACAGTTGTACTGTTAATGTAAAGTGGGTTAATTTAGCTTAAGAGTCAGTGTTTTGTACTGTATTGGTAAAAAATGTGCTTATTTTTGAATGCTGATCTCTAATTAATAATTTATTGGAACTATTCCTTAAAAGGAAAAAAGCAAACTTTATATATCACACAAACTAAATAATATTACTCTTGAAATCTATGCAACTGTATATTAGTAATTTTACTATTTTAAGAAGGTATCTCTTTTATGCAGATATTAAAGATTTAACATACCTGATATCATAGTAGTCACATTTGATTTGGTGATTTAAATATCCAAATAAGGTATTAAATTACTATCTTACATTCTACCTATTAGCCATTCAAACTCTCTACAGTTTTTCTTATCAATTAAAGAAAAAAGAGATCATCTCATTTTGAATTATTGCCTGAAAAATTTAACATTTTTCCTAGCAGGGGGGAAAATCTTTTTTTCAGTAAAGTAGGCAAAAAATGTTTGCCCTATTTAAAGATCTTTCACTTTTATAGATTCCTCCCGATAAAAAGAAACTCGGAATCCTAGTTGAATTCAGTAAAAGTATTCTCATTTCTATAAATGAAACCATGATTGGCAAATTACCGCATAAGAGTTTGGAGAAAATATAAATTACATTATCAATTGTAAAACAGAATAAAAATATTTTAAGAAGAGAAACATTTTTCATCAGAAAATCAGTACACAGAAACTTGACCAAAAATGAGGTATCAGAGTGCAGTGAGTAGAGTTTGGTGTGATGCACAGTCACTTCTTCTAACAATGCAAGGGTCGGCAATTTTTTCAAGAACATCTGTCAACTTGGTTAGGAGTTACAGCAAGTTCCAGTGTCTTAATACTGGATATCTGGTTGAGGGTATATTTTTTCTAAACCAGGTCATCCTGTAACATTCTGCATCTCTATTTTGTCATTAAGAATACTAGTCCTTCCTGAGCAACTGTATTAAATAGCATTAGGCATAATATTATACGACTTTTTATAATTTAGTGTACAAAATATATATACAGTAAGACGCGGGGGATACGTTCCATCGAAGTAGAGCGTAATGCGAAACAGCGCTAAGCGAGGCTATCTTAACATGTAAGTAATGGGGTTAGGGGAAGACGGATAAAAAAATGGTAGGCATAAATTTAATAATGTTTTTTTAATAAAAATAAAATTAAAATTATTTCTTACAAAAATAAAAACAATATAAACGCATATACTTTTAAAAACAAATAAAATTCTCAGTCAGATCATTCAGTCTATTCTGGGTTTCCAATTTTCTGCCTTTTGTTAAGAAGGCATTATGATAGATTGGCTTAATGGTATTGCGTTCAATTTCGTCGTCAATCCTATAGACAGTCGTTTTCCATTTCCTCTATAATGTTATTTCTAGAAGGCTAATTCTAGTTGCAGTTGCCGATGCGGTATTTTTTCTTTATTCTTAAGAATTGTCCTTATTGTTGAAGTTGCCAAAATCATGCAGCGCTAATTTGTGATTGACGTTTACCAGAATCTAATCTTCTAATCACTTGCATTTGAGTTTGCAGTGAAATGCTTTTTTGGTTGCTTCTTTTCTTGTTTTTATTATCACCCATGATAAAAACTAAAGAAACATAATATTTGTCACTGTATAATCGTTATAGTATTATACAAAATTTAAACTTTACAAAATGTCAACAAATGTTTAAATGAAAAAATGCGTCCCCACCAAGCAGAAACACAACTACACTGTTTCGGATATGTTATTTGGAAACCTAGCGCTGCGCACAATTTCGGAGAATCCCCGGGTTGAAATAAAAGAGCGCTAAACCGAAACAGCGGTAAACGAAACAGCGTTAAGCGGGGTCTTACTGTATACATTATGACTTTTTTTTTTTTTTTTTTTGTAAAGTTATGTTCTGTAGTAGACAGAAACAGGCATAATAGTATAACAATTATAATATGATACAAAACAAGCATAATAATACTAAGAATAAATATTATTGCACTTTTTTTTATGACAACAATGACGTATGAACTACTTACTGTAATGTACAGTTTTGGAAATTCTGCATTAGAGCATCCTACTAAATTGCATTAGGTTTGGAAATGGAACTGGTTAGTCCACGCACTCAGTGGTTTTCTTTTGAGATCTGCTTTGTTGGTCGAATTTAGGGTGTATGGGCATTATCATTTTGTAACATTGATTCAACTTGCATTTTTACATGATTTGAACCAATATAAAGATATATGCAAGAATTCACCCCATCAGTGGCTGAGTGATTAAGTTTGCTGAACATTGGGGCTTGATTAGGGTTCAACCCTAGACGAATGAGCTGAATGCATCGTTGCTTTTTGTGGTTTTTCCCATATGTAGTATGAATATGAGGCACTTCCTTAGAAAATCCTTCACTTATGCAAATTGCCCTCATGCACTTTGTTATATTCAAATAACCAAACCAAATAATGTAAGAGTCCAGAACACAACCTGTACGTAAATATGTATTTAGGCACTACAGTTTCCAAACACTGTAATTGTGAAAATGAAGAGTTTGTTTGCCGGCTGATAAAGATACCACTCTAGTTACGCTGAAAACTTCTGCTGTAAACAATCTCTTTCAGTGGCGTAGCTAGGGTGGGGCAAGGGGGGGGACATCTGTCCCCGGGCGCAGCATCCAAGGGGTGCCAAATTGATGCTACGAAATTTTTTAATGAAATATTTTCCATTTCTGGCATACAGAAAGGGGCGCAAATTCTTCAGTTGTCCCCTGGCGCTAGAAACTCTAGCCATGTCCCTGATCTCTTTGATGGATGTTTATTATTTTTATATTTAGCAGACCTCTGAATTGCTTTGAAGTGGCTATTATTAAGACTCAGCTGTAAATAGGAAAGTTTTCAATGAGGTTAACCCAATTTATGTAACATGGACAATTCAACTGTTCAAGTAACATAAGCTAAGAATTGTGAACATCATAGTGCAATCTAGTATAAAGACTTCCTTAAAAACTTTCATGTTAACAGAAGCGAATAAAATATTCCAGTATTTGCTGCAAGAGTATCTTTATTCATTTGCAATAAATATCATATTTTCTGTGAAGTTAATCATATAGTTGTATATAGTAGCCCTTTACACAGTTAATTACAGATATCAGTGTTAATTCATCGATGTTTCTTGATAAGACATTTGAGATGAGGAAGCTCTAGTTAAAAATTGATTCCATAATCTTAATCTCAGAAAGACTCAATATTTAGCCATGTCTGCCTGATTGTAGTGAATCTTAAGACACTGTAACTTTTTTACTGCGTTTCATGCATGAGATGATATCTTGAAGACATGCTTGAAAAATGGTTAGTTCAAACTGCTTTAATGACATTTCAATCATAAAGTAAATTTATTAAGGAACATTTGCATTTATGCTACTTATAAATACATAAATTGATTTAACCTACACAAATTTTCATATGGTATGCTTCTTATGATTTTATGTGTAATATTTTGACCAAAGCTGTAGTTTGAAAATATACTCAATATGTATATTAAAAAAAATAAATGAAAAATATGTTGAATTTTTTAAACTTAAAATATTTTGCATATTTTGGAGATGTTTTACTAAGAAACAATGTAAACACCCAAATCTTGTTAAATGATTTCACTCAAAATAAGTGTTAGTTTTCCTGAAGTATGGCAGTGCTGAAAATAAGTATTAATAATAAATTATACATATTCTTCAATAAGGCCATTGATATCTATGTAAACAAGTGACTCAAAAACAGTAACTATACATAAAATCTCACCCGCAAGTTATCAAAAATGGAAAAATGCTATTATGGTTTCTGAAGAAATACATTTGTTCTGTATTTATATATGGAAATTAATTTGTATTTCATAAATATTTTTAAAAGCAATGAAAAAAAAAAAAAAAAAAACAATACAAATTTTATATTGTTGCTCATATACAACAGAGAACTACACAGAAAATTATCATAAATCATAATTGTTTTTATAAGTTTATGTGAAACGATCTAATTTTGTCATATTTGTTCACACAGGCTATCCAACCCCGGGCGGACCAACTCTATTCCAAGGATCTACATATCCAACATACAATCAGAGAAATCAGTTCTCAATGGCCCAAAGCCTATTATCACAAACACTCACAGCCACAGGTAAGTACTTCATTAAAAAAAATACTGTTGACTCGTACGACTTTTTTTAATAATTTATGTAATGGTATTATTTATGTGTTTACACTAGCAAAAGTATTGACCTATGCCTGTATGCTGTCACAACTGCCTCTTTGAAAGTTTCTGATCTTCCATTAAAATCCTGATGACAGAATATATAACATATATCAGGCATTTCTGGAATACTGCCAGCTTCGTTTGATATGACAAAAGAAAAGATTTTCAGTTTCATTTTTTGTAGTGTATTTTTACTGGAGTGTAAGTATGCATGTATCATTTAAAAAGATATGCAACCAATTAAAATTTTGGAAGGAAGAAAAGTTTTATTAAGAAATGATAATGACAAGAAGACTACATTTTTTTAAGAGGTAATTCCTTTAATATTAGATATATATTAGTGTGGCACAGAGTCAGTTAAGTTTCTTATGTTCATTTGCAATAACTTCTATTACAAATTATGCAACTGACTAACTCAGTAATATTCTGAGAAGCCTTTTCATTTTCTGAGGATATGCAGATGTCTATAGAAGAGAATTAAATACTTGAACTGTTGAGAAAGTTGACTTGTTAATTAATGGCACCTGGCCAGCCAGACAGCATACAAAACATGGAGGCTGAAGAACACTTCAGCTTACATGTGAGTCATCAGCTTAACTTTAAGCAATGTAAAAATGTTGTCAGCAAAAGAGAGTGATTACTGAGGCACAATTTAAAAATGCCAAAAAATATGCAAACTACACTCTTGAAAAAAAATCGAAGCACCGAGAAGGACTTTTGCGATCGTGACGAAATTTGGTATGCAAAAACATCTTGATCGAATATGCAAATGATCAAAGTTTCAAGGCAAATGAACAGGGAATTGCGATCACAGCGCGCATTTCTAATGCGCAATTTGCAGACTGTAAAACCAGTAACAGAGGCGGAAAATTTATCCTTTTTTGTTGCTGCCACTGTAATTCCGCGAAGAAGCAACTAAAGATGCCGTTACGACGATATCAAAGGCCTTACAGACAACTAAATGACTTCGAACGTGGTCGCATTGTAGGGTTGCGTGAAGCTGGGTTGTCATACAGAGCAATAGGCCACCACTTGCAGCATACAGACACTGTTGTGCAAAGACGTTGGCAACAATGGTTGCTACAAGGAAACTGACGATAAAATGAAGGCTATGAAAGGCCAAGGATCACAAATGTGAGGGAAGATAGGATGATTGTTCACCAGATCCGAACTGCCCCAACGGTATCATTGTTGACTATTTAACACATTACAGCCACGTCTATACCTCCCGTGGCACCGTCCATCTCACGGCGCTTGTCTGAGGCGGGGTTATGCTCACAGAGGCCTTTAAGACATTTGGCTTTGACCCCGCAACATCGGCGGAGTTGTCTGGAGGGGTGTCGCAGCCGAGCATCATGGCTGCCATCAGACTGGCATCGTACAGTGTCCAGCGATAAATTCCGATACACTGTGTTCTGTCTGAAGAGGACGGAGCCGGTGGTCCCAATCAGCCTTTGTTTTACAAAGGCCTTCAACCATAACCCCTAGTGTGATGGTGTGGGATGCTATTTCTTATGACAGCAGGTCATCTTTAGTCATCCTCCGTACGTCTTTAATAGTTCAACGATATGTTGATACCATCCTGCGGCCGGTTGCATTACCCTTCATGGCACGTCATTCTGGGACCATTTTCCAACAAGATAATGCCAGGCCACATACCGCTCGCATATCTCTGGACTGTCTCTGTATGGCTGACACTCTTCCTTGGTCAGCAAGGTCAAAGGACCTTTCACCAATCAAGCATGTCTGGGGCATAGTAGGCCGCCAGATTCGGGCACGACAAAATATCACTGATCTGCAGCGACAACTGATGAATACCTGGCTGAATGTGTCATAGGATGACATTAGGAACCTCTACCATTTCTTGCCTCGAGGAATTCAAGCATGCATTGCTGCCAGGGGCGGCTCGACCAACTACTAATTTGAACACTCAATGGGTGATTGTGAACTGTGAACAGGTACTATGACCTTGATTTTTTAATCATTTTATTATCTGTGTATGAACTATACACATATTCAATTTCATCAAAAACAACCACTTCCTTCATGGTGGTTCAATTTTTTTGCAAAAGAGTGTATAAGTAAATAGCAATCCTGATATATAGTTAGAACCTGAATAAAATAATTACGGCAGCAGCATTTGTTATCACCAATTATCTAGAACCAGAACTTTAAAATTGTTTACAACACACAGATCTATATTTTCTTATAGCTAAATGACAGCTTCTCAAAATCATAATTTGAACAAGAGCATAGCAAAAATTTTGTACATTAATAACAGAGTTGAATGTTTCAAGAATGCAACATTCAAAAGAATGATTTATGGATTGAAACATGGATATGTTAACCCTAGTGAACAATCATCTGGAAAATTGCTAAATAAAGTTTGTGATAATGATAGGGAAAAAAAAATAAAAAAAAAATATGGGACAGAATATTGGATGAAATAGCAGTTATAATGGTTCTTGATGGTTGGCCATATATTATTCAAAATGGGAATACAGAAGAAACATAACAAAGATAATTTTTGTCATTTATGTTGAGAATGAAAATATATGATCACAATAAATAACACAAACTAATCAGAATCAAATAAAAGTGAAGTAACAGTTATGCTAATCTTTTCACATATGAAAGTTTAATGCATATATTGAACCTATAACCTAAAAAAATTATACCAAATAACTTGATGAAGTATGTTGCAGAAATACAAAAATACTTCAAAAAGAAATATAATACTTATAGCAAATTAACTATAAAAAGGTAGATGAATGCCTCAAATTCTAAAGAATACAAGATGGAATTCACAAGCAGAAGTGCCCTAGAAGATTTGTTGCAAATTTTCAAGTATAATGAAATAAGATTAAAAAATGTGAAAAAGTTTAAACTATAAATTATTGATATTTTAAATATTGTTGAAATTTATTGAGACCGTTCACAACTGTTTGCAGCGTTGTCAGTTATGTCTGTAATGCATCTTTGTCTCCTATTTCGTTTTTGTTCCTTGCAGTACCAAAGCAGAAAATCCAGTAAAAATTGCTTATGCTTAAGAACATTTGTCCTTTTAAATACTGCAAATTGAACCATCACCTAAGTCTGTAAACTTTCAATGATGGAAGACTAGTATTAGGTAATTTGTAATAAACGTTTTACTGTAAGTAAACTATATAATATTTTATATATGTCATGTGCATGCATACATGTCATGTGCAATTCTTATTAAAAAACTGGGAATTTTAATAATTAAAATTATTTTACAGTACAATATATTGCAATTTTAAAATCAATAATAGAAGTGAAAAAAACGAGGGAGAATAAATACTTAAGCTATATATACAATTCATTTCCAACTATATTAGAATAGGTAGTTTCTACCAGCTATAAAGTATACGTCATTAATATATTCTTAACTTTAAACATTTCCTCCTCTAGATTCCCACTTTTCTACCAGCAGCCAACCTCTAGGACAACATGCCATGCCAATGCAAACAAATTCTGTATCAAAAGGTAAGGAAGTAGAAAACTATTGCCTCATTTTGCTTAAATTTTCAAAAATTTATTTTTATTTTAATTTTTAATTCTAGTATTAAAGTGTAGTATGAAATTTGAGCAGACTTTAAAACTATAATGAACACACATTATTTGATCTAAATAGCTATAATATCTAAAAATTGAAGGGAAAAAAAAATAAATAAAATAAAATCACTTGTGGCAAATTTACTTTGCCATTACTTATCATTTAAAATATATTTAAATAATTTTCAAAAGCAATGGAAGTAAATAGCCCCAAGATGCAAATTTCATATTTACTTACACAGCAATCAAGGAATAAGTAACAAGATTTCTGTTGGGTGTTGACATCTATCATGAGCAGGGTAACCGCTTTTAGTACTTTCTTTATTAGATCTACTTTTAATATATTTTTAGAGTTTAATACTTTTTTTCGGATCTGGTACTTTCTTCCTTCCGAGTAATAATAATAATAAAAATAACACAAGAGAATTAGATGTATGAATTTATAGCTCACCTTTCAGTGCAGTAGAAGATGATATTTAAAAAGCCAAATCAGTTTTAATTGCACTACAAAATCCCTTAGTTAAGGCATAATTTCTCTTCTTAACTTTGACCCAAAGTTAGTTGATTTAAATTTAGATTATTACTTACTATTATTATTAAATATTGTCTTCAACTTAAAACACTGTATTTCATTTTAAACTTCGTTCTAGTCATGCAAGCCTTTTAATTCTTCAATATTTATTGCAAAACAGTATTCTCCTGTCACAAGGCTTCTCAAACCTTTTTGGCCATGGAAAATTTTTTATAGTGACCTAAGCACTTTGCTAGTATAACAAATTAACTCAGAAATAGTTTTTATGTACTATCATTATAATATTGCTTGGTATATAAACATATATAACAAATGTATTAGTATAACAGTGATGCAAAATAACACAATAATAATATAATACACAATGAACATAGTATAATGTGCCTAATAACACTAAATATTATAGAACTTCAATTGTAAAATGTTGCAAACTACATTTTAAAACCACTGCCCTATCAGACGAAACATTTCTCACAAATCTATCTGAACTTTACTGGCATTAATCTTTGCTAGGCTCAAAAATTACCTGCCATTTGCTATCATGCAACATGTAATACCTCTAGCATAATCTTTAACTGCTACAATAAAGTTTCAGCGAGACAGTATTAACAGTTACAAAAGAAATTTTAAATGTCTCCATTATATTTTATATTACAATAAAAAACATTAACATACCAGAAAATATTGTTTATGTCATTCTCTTGTTACTTATATTTCTTATAACAGTCTCAAACTCAAGCAGCTGGGGGGCCAGATTTTTTTTAACAAAATTTCAAATAACTAACTAAATTTTAACTTAATTTCAAATTTCACTTACTAAATCACACAGAAACTATTAACATACACTACTAACAACACTTATTAAATCATACAGAAACAAATAATTATAATGCAAAGGAAAAACTTCAAATTTATCATGCTTATTTTCTATCTGCAACAAATTTCTTTTAGTTACATTTCATAATTCAAATGTACTAGAAACTATACATCAAAATTTTAGGTTGACATTTATTTCAAATAATTCTAATATTTTGAATTAACCATTAAATAAATTGCTTTCATATAAACAGATTATGAAAAATTTCTCTGTGGAACAAAACTTGAGAATAAATACCAACATCTTATTCTCTTCCTTCATGTATAAATTTTTTATTGATACATGCAGAAAAAATTACATATGGTTGTATGTAAATAATTATACACTTTTGCATTTTTTAGAACATCTCTACACCTGACTGTGTTTGGAGTTTGATAACATTTGTAGCCTTAGAGAAAAATTATTGGAACCTCTCTTCATTCCGGACTGTAAATGCTTATTGGTCAATTGGGTCCTTTTGTTAAACTTGTTAATTTTTAACCAACTGGTGACTGACTCAAGAAAGTATAAGTACCATCTCAATGGGGGGGGGAAGACATATCAAAGTTTTAACAACTTTTGGCCACCAAATAAATTTATTGATTGTATCAACATCCCATCATAGTTTTGCAAGAATATGCACTGGTGCATAGATATTACGAGTATTCTATTTGAGAAAGTGAAAACCCATTGCTATCAAAAAGCCACATTTGGAGATTAAAACTGAAAAATGAATATCTTGCATTTTGCCGGATGTCAACACTCTGGTACGCTGGAGATAAAAATGTTTTATTTCGAGTAGTATTGCCACTTCTGGATTTCCAACCACTGAGTTTGTTAAACAAACATTCACTAAATTGTACAGAATAGGAAATAAATCAAAAATTAATTCGAAAATCAAAATTTAGGCTTCGAGATATCCATGTATTACGCACATTAAAAAGTCGGTTGCTCTACATGCCGTTGTTTTTCCACATTGTGAATAATATACATACATACACAAAGATTCTTCCTTATTTAATATTTTTAAAAATAATACATCGTGATAACATTTAGTGGCAATAATTTGAAGAGTCAAGTCTATAATTGTTTCATGTAACTGACATCATAAATATATCCATTGTATTTCATTTTCATTCACTAGCAGTTGCACATATAAACAAAATCCATAGGTTTCTATTATTTCCTGAGATGCAATGATTGTGTTCTTTTTTCTTTTAATTTCTTTTGCAGAAGCATTGTTGTATTTGCATTACCTATGCACTTTTGGCTGGGTATCAGCACTAACTTCGAACTTAATTTAAATGTAATGACTTCTGAAATATCTGCTAGTGCATATTTATTTTCTTAATAGACATTGTATTGTGATATACCACTCAATGAATTCATACTATATCAAAATCTATAACTGTATTAAAACAAATACATAACTGAAATGTATTTGCAAGCCGCATAAACTGCTGTGCAAGCCACTTTTAAGACCATTGCCTTATAATATTATGATTTACTCCTTTGAAACAGAATTCCTGAAACCTCTTATATTAATTTTTGATTTTTTTCTTTCTTAATACCTTTGGTTTTTTGCTAATAATCTCACTCACTCTTTCTTAACACCAGAAGGAAAACAGGATATTCTATAAATAAGAATTTTGAAATACTGTATATTTCTGACTATAAGCCAAGGAATTTTCAAACTTTCTAAAGCTAAGTTACACAAATCTGAGAATCAACTTATCTCAGAAAAGACATGGGTGCTTTTCTGTTAGCCGGGAGCAAGTAATAAATCACTTAACACCACACCTTTTTATTTCTTAAGTTTATGAAAAAAAAAAAAAAAAAAAATTAAAGGAAACGAGTCATTCATTTAATGAAAATGGGTTGTATTATTTTTGAATTTGTTTATAATGCTAGTTTATTGTATCAGCTGCCAAAACGAAAGCTCTGATGTTGGCAGAATTTGCTTCCGGCTTTCTCCACTCTCGAACTTATTCTTAATTTACAGAGAAATGCCAAGTAGCCATACCGTTAGAATTTTCAGCAAATATGATCACCTGTAGTTTGAAATTTACCATGCAAGAATTTCTCTTCCCTATCATCTTTCAGGAAAAATAAATAAATAAAATGGCACAGAAAATAAAACTGGCACTGATACTACAGATCATATACAAGATAGCAAATGAATAGAAAAAATGTGCTACCTTCAGACGGAGTTATCAAAGTTAAAACTATCATTGTTGGCATTTTACTTTATAGTGATTTGATTCGAAAATATTCCACCCATTTCACTTACTTTGCCCTCATATTTGAACGTTAGAGAATTTCCCCCCATTTCGTCTTTTATATATAAGTTTGACATTTTGAGTAAATTTTTAAAGAAAAACTGCATTTTCAACTTATATTCAGAATTTCAAGAAATGTGATTTAAATGGATTTTTAATTCATAAAATTCTATTTCATGTTTTGCACATTTTTCAAGTTAGGTATTTTAACTGCACTAAAAGACTATATATTATATTAAATGAAATATATATATGTTTCTCATATTAATTGTTTTTTGTCTTTCAGTTTGACCAGAGTGAAAGCATCAGAAGTCGTCCTTGTTCCTGTTCATGTTTTGTTTCTCTTTGGGAAGGTGCATTTTTGCTTTCAGATCCTCTTGAAAGCTTTCCGTGTACTATATATATAAACCTTATCCTCGAACGTTGATGGAACTAAGGAGATTGGAGGATGAGCCAGATGACAGTTCCTTCTTTTCTACCTGCGCACACAGTTTCGTGGTGTGCCTGAAGGTGCAGTGAGAAACTTCGCTTTTAAAATAATTGCGAACAATAAGCGTCTGCTAAGTGCATTAGCAATAATTTTTTAGTTTCATGTGAATATTCATATATATGTATATTTTTAATGTATAAAATTCACATCCTTGTATGGATGTTTTGAAAAAGTGTTCCTTGGATTACTTATACTTCCCTATGTGTCAGCCAATTTCATTTGAAAATTAGAATGTATTTGAACATTTCTATGAAAATCCGGAGAGAAAACTTATTATATCACTTTTTGTAATAAATTACACTGATGCAAAATTCCTACAATTATTTCCAAAGCAATTTTCATAATTTAATTTAACCTTCATAGCAAATAATATTTGAAAATGCCATTTGTGGGAATCGAACCCAACTCCCTGCAGAAAGAGATAGCGCACATTACTGTTTTTCAAAATAGTCAAAAGCTATTAAATACTACGGCATGATTCTTTTGCTAAGTAATTCCAAGGACACATTTTCATTAGTCATTAATTAGAAATAATAAGTGCTTTGCAGTATTTTGGCAATGACTCAAGAGAAGATGAGAGCACATAATAATGCTTTTTTTATAGTATAAGCTACTTATATGCGCTCTAGCATTTTTGCTCAGAGGATTAGATTCGATTCCTACAACTGGCATTTTTTTGTCTTTCTCTTGAGTCATCAAGCCATATCTTTCTTCATTCTTTTGTGCAGATAATTGATAAAAATTATTTTAAAACATCAGTTAAATGCTGTTTTCAAAATTCTCTGTGCAGTTAATTCATATACTTAACATGTTCATTTTATACTTAATTTCTATACTTTCAAACAAACACTTTTTTTATTTAAATTGAATTGCATCTAAACAAATCAGTTATTTTAAAAAAGAAACGAGCATTAGTTTCATTTATAAAACATAATGTGTGTCAAAGCGGAATTTCATACTGAATTAAAAATAGGCATTAGATCGGCATGCATCGACTTAGCATGGTTTTTGGATCTGCCCAAAGATAACTTTCACCTTGAAGAATTCCTCTAGATGTTATGCCCTTTTTATAGTTATATTTTAATTGAACTAAGATTTTCTGTATTTTTCTTGTAATTTTTTTCACTGTTTATCTATTTCACAAATTAAACATAAGAAAATACTGGTTAGGGCACATTATTGTTGAAATATATTTAAAGCCTATTTATCATATTTTTTTAATATATGAAGATAATTTTAAAAACATGATATGAGGAGGTTTAATATCAAATCTGAAAAACTGAAGAACTAAGTGCAAAAATAAAATACATAAAAGGAATATGTTTTTATCTGTGTAAGGGGGGTCATTTGTATTTAAAGGAATTTATGGAAACTGCCAATTCTGTTTTAAGAAATAACACACTCCTGACAATTTAATTGAAATTTGTGAACTGCTTCTTAAATAATTATAAATATAATGTTATCTCACTGCACTTTCTATGCTCATAAAACCAACCTATATATAGCTAAATCGTCGCTAGTCATTTCTCTTCATATTGTGAAGCATAAACATATGGAACCAAGCTCTTAATTTGGGCTCCAAAAGACGCAGAGAAGACTGCTATGGAGGAATAGTTCCTGTCTTTTGTGTACTTGAAATAAAAGAAAATTGGAGCACAGAAGCAAAAATGGATTTTTAAGTTTTTTTTTCCACTGCCAAGTTTTGTTTGTTATGGATGTATATGGCAGATACTTGTGTACTTATCGAATTCAAGTGGAAATTACATTCATTTCAAATTATTCTTACACATTTATATGCTTTTAAGTTTGAAGCATTCATATAGCTTCCAAGCATTTGTTACATAACTTTATGGTAGTGCATCAGAGAAAAGGAACATCTAATATTAATATATTTGGAGCCTTTGTTCAATGCAGTGATTGATGCCAGCCAAAATAATTTCTCATCACTTTTTCCAATAAACTGTAATTCTGTATCTGATTATCGGGCAGCTGCAAAAAGTTAATATTAAGAACTAAATTTTAGAATGTTCTGCATTTTTCTGTATTATCAAATGATCATGATATGCAGTTGATGTTAATTTATTTTAACCATTTACTTATTTTACAGTTGCCCCATAATCTCTTGTGAAAAAAAATGTAATTCAAAATAAACTTCAAATTTTAACTTATATTTGAACTTTTATTTCTTGGGTCAAGTTACTTTTAAAATTACAAATATCTCATAGCTTGAAATTGGTTTAAACAAACACATTCTGTTGCTTTAATAAAAAATATCATCTATTTCTAATTACAGCAGTTATGTATATATTGCATCTGAAGGAAACTGTAGGTGCTAGTATTAATTTCTTTTCATAGAAAGAAGCCTTAATTCTCTTTTATGGTGTTGCCCCCCCCCCCCCAAGATACGTGCTTTAAGATGCTTTTAAGTTCTAGAGATATTTTTCTCCAAATCAGTTCATTGACAATTTCTTTTACTCCCCCCTTAAATCCTAGAATAAGCATGAGAAAAATTTCCATCTAGGCTAACACTGATACAAATATTGTTTTATGCGCTATAAATACTTCTGCACTTCCCCCCCCCAAATAAGTTTCATTCTTAGAGCCTGGAAGATCTAATTCATATTCCAATCAGGTTTTTACAAATATCTGAGAATCCTTTTTATTTCAATTTGTTTAATAGAATAATAGTTTAGTTCAACACCTTTGCTTTCATTTTACACGAGCTAATTTATTTTCTCTGTGTAATTTCTGCAGAATTAAAAACAAAAGAAAAAAATAATTTTTAATTTCCTTTTGAATGAATCAATTTTATAATATCTTTTATTGTTTTGTATTTAAAAGTAGATATTAAATTGTAATTATTGTTAGAAATGCCCTTAACATAAAATTATCTCAGTTTCTGCAGTTCTTATAAATTATAGTCTATGAGTGTTGAGCCAAGATTAATAAGAGAATAACCAGAAAGCATTAACAATATTCAGTCAATTAAGTTTAAAAGCTGCAAGTACAGGTTTCAAGATTAACAGATATCAATCACTTTTTTTCATACATCTGATTTATTTTTTCTACAAGAAACTGCCACTGTTTATAGATATTAGAGGTTATCCTGTATACACTGATGTTAAATATTCTTTAGTATGTGTTACATAATTCTTGCTATGAAATTCATATGAATTTATTTAAAATTTTTCAATACATAAAAGTTTCATGAAAGCAGAACATGCACAGAACATCCAAAGCTCATTTTGTATAGTAAAATTCAATATAATTTTATTTACATAAAGAAAAAAGTCGTATGAATTATAGCTATGTTTCATCAAATATGTGAGAATTATAACAGTTTGTGATTTGTAATAAAATTTCAATCTCTCTGGCTAATATAGAAGTGAATTTATAGACTTAGATTTTTTTTAAATATATCCTTTAAATGCTTACGAAATAACTTATTCTGCTTACTTTTCTACACACAATTTCCTATCTCCATCATCTCCTATTACATTTCTTTCAACTTATATAAAATGAAGAATTTATCACAACATCTTTTCAATAAGCTATTTAAGTTTAACAGTCTATCCGCCATTTGAATCCCTTATAACACATATATGCATATTTATTTATATATATATTTTATAGTCAAACAAAAGTGCTCAATGGTAGTATAATACAGTACAGTATATAATGAGGGTATTTACATATTATCTTATGGGCCATAAAACTGTAGCCAAGCAGTACAATTTACAATTGGTTATGGATAAGTGTGACATCACAACATACTCATAACATCTGTGTTTTCATTTGATGTAATCCCAAATGATTCTCAATACACCACTTTTATTTTTATGACTTGCTATATTTTTAACTTACATATTTAACTACAGAAAAAAAAAAAAAAAAAAAAAAAAAAAAAAAAAAATTAGTTCCATGGCTGTAGAATCACATTTATGACTGCATTCCGATTCATTGACAGCTGGTTGAGAGGATTAACATCAGTTAAATTTTAAAGAACAGTCAGTCAGAGAAACAGTAATAGATTGAAGCAGTCACCTGCAGGAAGTTTGTACTCATAGAATAGAGTAACAGTAATAATCACTAAATTGAGTTTTTGATAAAATCAGAGGGCTAAACAAAATACTAAAATCACTTTTTAAGAAGTGCAAAAATGAAGCAGGTCAAATACTTCTGAAGCAGTGACTATTTGATAGATCATACAGAGAGACTTACTAAATGTTTTAGTGTAAAAGCTGCAGACGGAAGTCTGGCTCAGAATTCCACAGAAATAACTAGCACAACTTTGGTGGATCTTACTTGATTTTCATGGTTCGACGGTAGCCAAATTTCAACCCGAGTGGCCAGACCCTTGCTTGACAACAATTCGTGGGAATGGTCAAAATCATCAGTTTTTTTAGCATCATCATCAACACAAATTTGCTATGAAATAGATGCACTATGAAGATTCAACTCCTTTTAAAAACAGGAGTAATTCTGTCATGTCTTTTATTTGATTTGATAATTTAGTCATTAGCAAGGAAAATATTATGCAGTAAGGAGACAGAAGTAAAACTGTGTTAGACATATAATTTATAACCATGTTTAAAATGATCATTTTCAAAATCTTTCATTATCAGAAAGTATACAGAATTTTAAATAAAAAAAATATTTACTCTATTGCTGTACTAATACACTGTAAGGAATTGACTACTGTAGCTTCAAAACTTTCAACATAATTATGAGAGCATGTTAAGTGAATAACCATTTTATTAACAAAATAGTCATATATATATATATAATAAAAATCACATAAATGAGAAAGATAAAATAAATCTAGTTAAATAAAACAGATACATAAATATAACGGCCCAAAACGAACAACCATTTTTTAAATTAAAGGCTTACATATACGAAAAAAGTCAGATCAATAACAAATCATATATTGCATAAATATGAAAAATATTGCAAAATATATAAAATTTAGCAAATTTTAAATTCTAATGTGACCTCTATATATCCTATATTAAATGTAGAAATAAAAATTTTTATTCATGAATTGAACATAGCATAAATGTGTCTTTAAACATTCGCTGTAAATAGACACAAGCATAGATATATAAACATGTTCATAAATTTTGCTAAACCTGACAAATATCTGTTTTATTAATTAACATGGTCTTTCTCCTGGTTCACAGGATGACTTTGTAAGCTTGGTACCATTTTCTCTCCAGGCTTGAACCCAAACAGTAACATTGCAAATCATTGGCGCCTAAAAGATAAAACCCATTTCAACAGATAGACCATGAAATTTTACTTCTGTAAATATAGTACAGATTTTTAAAATTTTCCCTCATATAATAATATGACACATAAAAAAGAAATACATTTACCTAGCTGCCAACCTTGAAATCTTAAAAACCATGTTCTCATGCTGCATGAAGAAGTTATTCCAAAGGAAAAGTGACTTTAATTCACTTTATTGAAGTATTTGTAATTCAATGCTGATATAAAATATATTAACATTTAATTAGGTATCATGAATTTTATGTTCTTTGGTGAATTTCATTTTTTAATTATCTTACACTTTTATACTGAAAAAATCAGTACTCTTTGTGTTATTGGGACCGGAATCAGAAATGAATGTATGTATGTGTTCATGTATTTACATGTATGTACATATGTATATGTGTGTATACACATACACATATATGCACATGCATACACATACACATGCATACATATTTCTTAATTCAATCCCGATATCAGAAGAATATCGAAAATCCAAGTAGTGCAGGAAAACTTTTCTTTATCAAAGTGAAAATAAAATTAATAATCAATGTACATAATATTTGAGCGGATAAACTTAGTAATGTACCATATATTGAAGTAAGCAAAATTAAATACAAATATTAAATGATTAAATATTGCTTAACTCTTCATATAAAAATTTTCATACATCTGCAGTAGATCAAGACAACGTAGATCACAACATTTAATAAGAGAAATAAAATGTAATAAGAGAAAAAATTCAGATTTCATAAGAAAGTAAAATTTCATAAGAAAAATTATTCTAAAAACATTAGAAAAGGGAGAATGGAATTTGGCTAATTTAAGTTTCATTAATCAATAAATTTCATTTGTTGCTGGGCAAACATCTTTAGTACAGGCTGAAAATTAAAAACTGGGAAATTTGGTGATCTACTGGGAAAAAAGGAGATGTGATGAAAAATCTGGAGAGTTGGCAGCAATGAAATTTAGTACCTTTCCCCTTCTAAAATTCAGTTTTAATATGTGAATCTTTTAATGCCTCTAATAATCATTAAAATTTTTAAAAAAATCTGAAAGCTTTCAGATTTTATATTACACCCAAAGGAGCATTTTTTTAATGTTTTGGTTGTTACCTTTATTTATTAAATATCCTGTTCTTCACACTTAAAACATAAAATTCAATTCAACAGCAATATCACAAAACAATTTAAAAAGAGCATACCTTTAAATTTCCAATACACAGTCTCATGCGCTGGAGATAAAAATATTTTTTTTTTTTTTTTTCCCCCTGTACAGTGTTGCAATTGTTCACTTTGAAATCACTGAGTTTGTTAATCAAAAATTCATTTAAGTTTTATAATATATGAAATAAATAATAAAACAATTTCCAAATATGGGCCACCAAATATTTGAGTGGAGGACTACATTATTCACAGTGCAAGAAACATACAACATTCATACAGATTCTACATTATTTAATTTCTTTAAATATAGTACAGAGCAATAATATTTGGTGGCAACAATCTGAAAAGTGAAATGCCGTTTATAGTGAACCAAAGTAAAATGCCAAATTGAAATTAATAACCCTTCTGGGCAAATTGCCCCTTTGGGCTGAAAAGCATGTGAACAAAATGAAAATATTGCTGATTATATAGAAGTAATCATGAGTTAGGAACGTAGATATGTTGATCTTTGACAATGTCAAATATCAAGCATGCTGTCCATCATGAAATATAAAATATATACACGCTCAAACTAAGCTTAAATTAACAGTACGGTTGATCCAACTCTGCTACAGCAACCCTCTATTTTTTTTTCGCCACCATTTTGTCTTCACGAAGTAAAGACATGTTTCTTTTCTTTTTATTCACTCAACACTTTTTCCAACAATCTACTAGCCGAATTACACTTATGCTAGAAATTTTATGTAACAAAACTGCTTAATCATGACAAATATTAACTGCAAAATTGGGAAAAAGTGCACAATCGCAAACTCCTTGCACGTTTTTCAGAATAGCACATACACATAAACCATTTACACGTCGACTTATTTTTACTTAAAAAAACATCCCAGAATTGCACAAAAATGGCATTGCACACACTCTTAACTTTATCCATCTACACTGCTATTTTCTCATAAATTACAAAAATTTGCACAAAAATGCAGGGAAATTTTTCTTAATCTTTAAACTTGGTAAAAAGCACATATATGAAATTACCTGATCGCGAAAAAGTATATACCCTTTCCAAGGATGAACATTTCCACGTATAAAATAAATAAAATATCCAAAAGCTTTTACCTCTAAATTATTTATTATATTATAAACGTCACCAACAAATTTATACGCAAACATTAAAAATAGTTACAAATACTTAGTGTCAAATATTTAAATTATTTCCATAGAAGTTTACTTCAACTGAAACGTATACCAAATTCCTACAAACATAAAATTCACAAAACAACTATCATTTAATTAAAATATCACTAAACCATGTACACGTCGACTTATTTTTACTTAAAAAAAACATCCCAGAATTGCACAAAAATGGCATTGCACACACTCTTCACTATATCCATGTACACTGCTTTTTTCTCATAAATTAGAAAAATTTCATGAAAATACATTAAAATACACAACATATTCTAAAATACTACAAACATATAACTCACAAAATCACGATCATTAAATTAAAATATAATTAAATTAAAAATACTACTTAAAATATAAATAAGCACATACATTAAATTAATAAAAATTACATTACAATCCTAATTACTTTAAACTAAATCATTGCTAATAACAATTTTCCAATAATACCATATTAATTTATTTACTCCTTACATTTAGAACAATGCATAAAAATAATATCCTCAAATGATTAAAAATACTAACTTACCTAATCTTCTTCAGAATCTTCATTACGTGGCACGCACACTTCCCTACAGAAAGAGTTCCAATCGGCTGCAGTACTACTGCTAATTTCTAAATCCGAAATCCAGACAAAATAATTTTTCCAAATTTACCCCTTTTTCCGATTAAAGAATTGTAATTCGTCCATTAATGTCACATGACATATCTCATGATCTCTCATTTCCCTCACACAAAATAATGCGTAATCGGAACTGAGTACTTCTCACATTATTACCAAAGTCCTAGGTAGTAACCTTTATCGCCTCCAAAATGTCGCCAAACTACCTGTTACCATATTCCAAAGATCAGCCAAAAGTACTTTAGGAACCAACAGTGACAAGATGGTGCTAACTAGTGGAATGCCATCACCGAACATAATCTATATTGTCAACAGCTAGTGGTTGATACAGTCAAATGAGATTCTCGGTGCAGTTAAGTGAAACATGGGTACTCCAAATAATATGTACGGGCCTGCATATGAGCTTAAACAAGGAATAATCATATCTACAGCTGGGAAGGATATAATAAAGATGATGAAAAAACAAATAAATTTTAAGAGCAGTAATTAATCACTCTAACATGTACTATACAGTATAAGACCAACAGTCCCAGAGAAGGGTACATTTACAGGTGGCTCTTGAGACAAATGATGCTTAAATATGTGACGAAATGGAAAATTTAAGAGCAGAACTATCTGAAAACAGCCCTGCTTAGAAAATGGTAAAAGGGTTCCACATGATTTGAGTGGCAATCAGAAGGCAACACAAACAGATATTTATGATTTTTAGCAGTCTTATCTAAAAAGGATCCCTTTCTGAACAGAATGCTGACATACAATGAAGTACTTTATCATAAATTATGTGATAATTGTATAGCATTACATGAACCCATTTTGAAACAAAGAAAACTACAAACATATGAAAAGAAGGTTATGTTCTATGTTTTAGTCCACTGTTTAGAGCACATTACAAATTCCAGTCCTTAAGTTAATGTTTGATGCGTATTAGCTCTTAATGAAGTGATTGGTCTCTTCCTTTCTCTGAATGATCCATTAATTCAGATGATTACTTCGATATATTGAGATTGTTTTCAATACCATAATTAGATGAAATGAAGAACACTTTTTTTCTACAGGATGGGAGCCCCCTCTCAACGGGCTACATATGTATATGTGTTTCTTGATGAAACATTCACAGATCATTGAATTGGTAGAAGTGGACCAATTTCATGGCCAATCCATTCCTCAGATGTTGCAGCATCAACTTCTGGTACCTGAAGCTACTGATACTGAGTTTGGGCAGTTCTTCGACTTGATATTTTCAAGCTGGCGATTTTGAGAAACATGCGAAGTTGTGGGTGATTCTGCACTTGTCGCCAATGGTGTGGGCTCTCCTAGGATTTTATCAATGTGCTTTTTTCGATGTATCATATAATCTTTATTTAACAATTAAAATTTGCATTTTAAATTTTTTTATATGTTAATAATGTTTGTGATGAATATGGAAAGCTTGAGAATGCTTTTTAAAATAAGGTGCAAATTTACAACTGAACACACTTTTTATCTTTCCATCTGAAAAAAATCACCATATTGCACCAAGATGGTTGCATTAATACATAAGTACTTAAATTATTCATTAACTATCTAATTTATATATATTCATAGCAATTAAACAATTTCCTCGTGAGTGAAAAAGAGTCGAAAATTTTATTCCTTTTCTTTAAATTTCAATTTGTGTATTTTTACATAACTATTCATTCACATTAAATATTAAAGAATGGATAACTCACTTCACACTTAAGGAGATCACACTGCGATAGGTCTGAATTATTGCTACTATTCTTTTTACATTCTGTAGGTGCCATTTTAATTGTCATCCTGTAATTTATTCCAGATACAACCTAAAATAAATAGAATTTAGTTAAAATAGTAATAAAAACATGAAAGCTAACAAAACAATTCAGGGTAATTTCCCTTTATGATACCCCTTCTCTCAGGTTGGCACAATCACAACCTGGCATAAAACACGGGCAACAGAAATCAACATTCGGGGTTTTGGTTTTCAGCTGTTGGTCTTATAAGAAATAGCTAAATAAAGGCATAATCTGCTTTCAAGTATTAATAAGCTTAATTTACACATGGTGCCAACCATACTGATGGATACAATCTCAGATTTTGTTCTCCAATAAATATTTAATTATAGTTACCCCAATGATTAAAGTATACATAACTTAAAGAAAAGAAGGTAACCATAATAAATGTTTGGACATGAATTATAAACAAATTGACTTCACTTTGTTATTAAAATGTTAATCAGTTAAGTTGTTACTTCCTTGTTAAAATGGCCACTGCTTAAGCCTTTAAAGGAAACATTTAAAAATGCCATACGTTATAAACTGGACTATGAAGTCTGCTAATTTTGATGATGGTACTTTTCTGTTATCAGGACGAGATTCAGAAGTGGGTAAAATCCTAGTATACGGTGCAGCCTTGGCACGACTTTGAAAATTATCGCCAACACCAAAAATGATCCAAAGAACGTCTATATATATAAACTATACACACATAGTATATATACTATATACAAAGTATATATAATATTAATAATTTATATTATATATACTATGTATATAGTACTATATTACTATACTATGTAATACTTTATATTACTATAATATGTATATAGTAATTACTATATGCATAGTATATATATGTATATATACTATATTTAACTGTATATTTTCTTTGAATGACCCGTTAACTACTCATCGCATATGTCCCGTTTTTACTGCTCATCATAAAGTCGCCAAACGTAGCCAAATCCCGTGTGCACCGGATACTAGGATTAAACCCAGAAGTGTATATATATATATATATGTGCACATGTATGTATGTATGCATGCATATATACAAACACACATATACATACTTAATAACCACTTTAACAAGGAAATACTTTAACATCTTATAAATATTTTCATAAAAAAAATGATGACATACTCATATTTTTATACTTATACACTTTAACAATTACATAAAACACAATTAATCCTAAATATTTAAAATATTGCCATGGCAAGTAACAATGACAAATATTTAAAATATTGCCATGGCAAATAACAATGACAAAGAAAAGCAAAATTTTCCCAATCCTATTAAAAGAAAAAGAATACGATTTAATGAAAGAACAAGTAAATTACACTGATGGTTAACATGTTTGGAAATATCTGCTTTACTTGGTAATAAAAAAAAAAAAAAATATGCGACAATGTTAACAAAAATGCACCAAATACAGTTTTCAAAGTTTTTTTTTTTATTATTATTATTACTTCCTTCTTCAAATAAATTTTGATTTGTGCAATACAAGATAAAATTATACTGAATTAATGTACTGTTAATTTATGAGTATAACAAATCAGTTTTAATGAATAATAGGTGAGGAAGAACATTTAGAATATAAATAAGATATCCTACAGTTCGTAACCACACATACATAAGTTATACATATTCCTAATTTCAACTACACCAGACACTGCCCCCCCAAAAAAAATCCTTTCAAGTTTAGCCTTGAAATTTAATTCTGGAGTTACATAAACAATGATCGCGCATTTATGAAATATTAATCAGATTATTTAATAATCACACCAGCACTTCACAGTAAATTTCTTATTCATAAAAAAATAGTTATGTATGTTAAAACATAACATATTTTTTGCAATTTGAACAGTTGCAAACACTTTTAACTTCGCAGTTCAATCCATCATAAAAAATTATTACACATAATTTTCCTTATAATCTATCATGTACTGCTAATAAAGGAAACCCGAAGTACTGCTGACATTTAATGCAAAAATTGATATATACAAAAATGTAACTCATTCAGAGCTTTGAAACTTTAGAAAAGCATCAACTTCAGCAAATTCATTCACAATTTTGAAACCTCAGAAAAGCAATAATTTCACATCGTTTTAAACCAATACTTTATACTAAAGCATATTCAAATATGACAGTTAGTAGTCTCCTAATTAAATGACATACATATTTTACCACTAAATAAAGGATGTCTCAATTCCTCTACATTAATCACTCATAAATCTGATCTCTTTCGGGGGGGTTGCATTTTGGATGATATTATTGATGTTCCTATAACCAGATTAAGTATCATTCATAAAATATACCCTAAATGCAAGTTAACTGATTTCGTACCTGGGACTCAGCTTTTAAAATTTCAACTGGTTTCAGATGGTAAAGTGAATTTGATGATGCTGAAATTTTATTTGTAGCAAACTGAGCATGTTTCGCAACTTCAGGAGAATTTTTGTCGATTTCTTTCCAACCGCCTGTCATCATAGCCAATGTTCCACAAAAGAAATTTAAAATAATCAACGCAGTAAACTTCTCCATTTTTCCGTTAAACAGTATAACAACGCACGAAGCAGTGACGTAAATCACAGCACAACGTAAACAAAATTAGGTTGACTTTATATCCAAAACTTACATCCGTCTTATCAAGGTCAACGCTAAATCTCCAAACACGCATGTAGGTCACGTGACATCTGATCGACGTCTCGAGCACGAGCAAAGTCGGTGTTGGCACGAGTCATTATACTCCGTGGTCTCGAAGCATCGCTATATTAAGAGGACTCATACACCTTAAAACCCATAAGATCTTCAAATAGGTGATTGTTCCAAGAATTGGGATAACTTATTTATTTTAAAAGAAATTACTTCCAACTTTTTACAGCTGACTACATAATATTTTCTGAAATTGTAATCAGAAAATTTGTGTTGCCACAAATATTTTTATAATTTAGTCCGCTTTGTGACAACATTTTTCGTCATGTTTCCACATTGCGCGCACAGTTTAAAAACTTCTGTTGCATAATTTAATTCCATATTTAATATATAGCTTTTATAAAATTTGGAGACTACTGTGAACCTAAATTTCTAAAATTTCATGTTAATTTTTTATTTTATTTTGAGTTGAATTTATAAAATGTATTTTATTAAAAAAATTTTTAAGGTTTTCGTCCATCAAATTTTTCAATATTAAAATATTCATCAGATTTTTGGTTCAGTTAGAAAATAGTGCCCATATAAAACATTCCATCAAATTTCAAGCATGTACCATTAGCCATTTTTAAAATATCATGCGCGCAAGGTGGAAACATGGCGAAATATTTTGTCACAAAGAGGATTAAATTACAAAACTATTTGTGGCAACAGAAACTTTATTGTTACTAGTTTCCAAAGCAGCTATATTATGTAGTCAGCTGTAAAAGGTTGGAAGTAATAGCTTTTAAAATAAATAAGTTATCCCAATTCTTGCAACAGTCACATATTCGAAGATCATAATGGTTTAAGGTGTATGAGCCCCCTTAAGCCAAGGCCTCCGTTTCTGAGCAGAAAGAAGGACGAACAAGTTAAGCTCCCGATTTCCTTTATCGAGCTGAAGTGTAACATAGACGGAGAGCATATCCTGCGGCTGAATAACATGTTGAGTTTTGATATTCGTGTAGAAAAATACAAGCCAAAGAGACGGCCTGCGCAGTGTTTCCGCTGCCAGGCCTTTGGTCACACTCAGCACATGTGCAACAACCCAGAACGCTGGGTGAAGTGTGGTGGAGCTCATCGGAGCAATACATGCTCCAAAAAACCAGAAGAGAAACCGTGCTGCATGTACTGCGGAAAGAACCATGTGAGCAGTTTTCGTGGGTGTGAGGCTTACAAGAGGAGATTTCAGAAGAAGGCACCACCAAAAATTCAGAGGCAACCTCAGTGCTTAAATTGCGCCGGAGCCCACCGGAGCCCGGCTCCGGTACTTCTCAGTTTTAAAGATAAATTACAATTCTAGCCGGAGGGCACCGGAGTCCTAAATAAGATGAGCTCCGGTATTTCTTTTTATAAAACTGAACCACAATTTAAAGGGAAAAAAATTTAGAATTCCTAACGTTTAACTTTAACAATAAGCAGACCTTGCAATACTCTATTTCCCTAGAAATACGAACTCATGAGAACATGAGACGTTCAAGTAAAGTCCCCTCACTCACATGCGGAAACCTTTCCCTTTAAGGAGGGCAATAAATTTGGGGGAGTTTGTTCAGGAACGCGTAAATTTCTCGCCATGCCATCTCGTGTATTGTTATCGATGCTTATAGTTTGCTATCCTCGCAGAAAGGAAAATTTGTGTTCTTAAATGTGCGTTAAATGACAGCGAGTACAATAAGAGTGAAATACTGAGATAAACTGCTCAAGCACGTCCTATACATCGTCTTCAGACAGTATCTACAAATGGGGGGGAAGCGTAATCAGCAACTTTACATTCATCCTTACACAGATCGTATTTTATTCTCGAGTGTCAAGATGTAGAAACATCTTTTTACTCGACTTCTGATAAGGATCGGGTGGGAGGAGAAAGAGTAGGGTGGAAAGAAGTGTGGGAGGCGGAAAAAAGATAGTGAGGTCCGCACTAGCGGCGGCGAAAAAAAGGGGGGTGGCAAGTTCAGTGTCGTTATAAGATGTAGCCAAGGGTGGTAAACCGCAGAGTCAGTTTAGCGTGAATGAGTCAATTAAGGTTGTAATTCTTATGTGGGTAGGATGTCACATAGGTACCGATGTTTTTCTCTGGGATGCGAGGAGTGTCTGAGAGTGCTAATCAGGCTATTACTGTGGGTTTGTACTGATTAAAAGAAGTTGACCACTAATCGTTTAATATACTATGGGTTTGTACTGAATAAAAGAAGTTAACCGCTAATCGTTTAACATACTCTTGAATAAGTTCGATTCGAAGGTTGCTGTGAATATAGATGTTTGGAACATACCAAGGAGCATTGATAATTTCTCGTTGAATTTTATTTTATAGAATTTGTAATTATTTAATATTGGTTTTAGCTGCATGTCCCCAGATCGGTGCTGCATAAAGGAGGGCTGGGCGAAGTATGGAGCGATATAGAATTAATTTGTTTGTAGTAGATAAGTTGCTTTTCCTACCAAGAAGAGGTCGCATAGTACCTGTGATGATTTTAAATTTTTGTACTACGGACCGGAAGTGGGTTCTGAAGGTAAGTTTTTGGTCAAGGGTGACTCCAAGATATTTGGTTTCATTAATCCAGTCTATTTTTTCGTCAAATATTTCATTGGGTGGAGGATAGCATCTCATGTTTCCTTTACGGAAAATTATTGCCTTAGTTTTATCAGTGTTAATTTTAATCCTCCAAAGGTTGAGCCATTTTTCTACTTTTATGAGATAGTTTTGGAGTTGGTTTCTTGGTTGGCGATAACTATGCAAGCTTTAGTAAGTATGGCTGTGTCATCGACAAAGTGTGCAAGATGAACAGAAGGGTCTTTAGGGATGTCTTGTGCATAAATATTAAAAAGGTACGGCGAAAGTGCCGACCCCTGTGGGCCACCAGCATTGATTACTCTGGTGGTAGAATAAGCGGTACCGATTTTGATTCTGAATGTTCTGTTGTTGAGAAAAGAGGCTATTAAGCGAATAAAATTATCTGGAAAACTGAGAGTGATTAGTTTGTAAATAAGGCCTCGATGCCATACCCTGTCAAAAGCTTTCGCGATATCGAGGAATATAGCACCGGTCGGAAACTTGCAGCTGTAGCCTTCAGTGATAATGCTGATAACTCTAAGAAGTTGGTGGCAAGTGCTATGATGATTACGAAAACCGAATTGTTCTTCTGGGAAAAAATTCATGGAAGGGGGAATTTTTTGGATGTGGAAAAGTAGGATTTTCTCAGTAACTTTAGATAGATGGCTAAGTAAACTGATACGGCGATAGTTCTGTGGGAAGGTTGGATTTTGTTGCGGTTTAGCAAAAGCAATTATTATAGCTTGCTTCCATGAGTTAGGAAAATTTGATAATATTGTTGATTATCTTAGTTAGGCAGGTAAGAGCGTTGATCGGAAGATGCTTCAGTGCTTTGGTCGAGATGCCATCGTGCCCTGGGGCTTTCTTCGTTTGTAAGGCGCTGATGGTGTTGGCAACGATTGTTGGGGTAGTCAGGAAAGTGAAGTTGTTGACCACCTGGTTGACCCGTTCAATATGGTTATTGTCGTACGGAGTGGGATTAAGAGTGAATGTATCTTCCATATAGTCCGAAAAAGATTTAGCTTTATCTTCTACTGTATATGAAATTCCACTAGGTCCATGGATAGGTGGAATAGGTTTATAAGGTTTCTTGAATTTGCGGGAAATGTCAAATAGGGAATTGTCCTCTATAGCTAGGTTATTTAGGAAATTGGTCCAGTTTTGGTTTTTGAAGTTCTTGATTCTTCTGTTGATTTCTTTCTGCATAGTGTTTAGTTCGTGTTTGAGATGTGGATCCCTGGTGGTTTGCCATCTTTTACGGATCCGGTTTTTCGCTTTAATACTATTTCTTATATCGGCAGGCAGGGGGAGGAAAGGCTTGTTCACATAAAAAAGTATTGGTGGCTTCCTTTAAAGCAGAATTGATGCAGTTGGTAAATTTTGAGACTTCGTGTTCTAAATCTTCTTTGTTGTTGATGCATGGGTTACCTTGTATGGAGTTATTCAGAATTTCAGAGTATTTGATCCAATTTGTATACTTCTGTCAAGTGAGGGGAGGTATTTATTAATGGGGTTTTCAAATACAATGGGGTTGAGGTCGGAAGACAGTGCTGAAATTACAGAGATATTGCATCTGTTAGTAATGTTATTTGAGATGAAGAAATCAATTGTAGTGGCGCTATTGTACCCGTAATGGGTGGGCTCGTCTGGAGCACGAATGTTATAATTATTTGATTGAATGAGTTTAAATATGTCATTTCCTTTTTTGTTAGCAGGTCCTCGGTTCCAGCAGGGGTGTTTGACGTTGAAGTCCCCCCCCCACGACAATGGTAGAAGTATTAGATCCTGTCTCACGATACGTACGGTAGGTGTTATAATTAGCATAAAGTACTTTGAGTGCTGGTTAAAGGTGAGTATCTTGTATGAGTATTGCGTCAGGTTCAATTTCAATAATGAGGTTGGATACTTCATCTTTTTTATGGTAAAGACCGTTTGCGTTCCAAGAGAGGATTTTTACGTTGCACCTATTCTTGATTAGAATTAAAGATGATTTTCTATTTTTTCAATAATTTCGACTACTGCGATTATTTTATCAAGAGGTGATTTCTTGATTTTAATGTTTTTGAGTCCTTGTATCACTATTGTCCAGATTGTTTTTAGCGAAGAGAAGTCAAAGAGGTCTGACAAGGAGGATTCTGCGGTGATGGTAGTTTATTATGTTGGATTTTCGTTTTGAATGGAGGTATGAGCGAGATTTTCGTTACTGTTTGATGTCAGCGTAGGAAAGTCTTGTCTTCTGTTAGTCCAGGAATTGATTGCTGGTGGAGGACTGGGTTGGAACTAAACTTGTTTGTTTTTTGGTCTGGCCGGGCAATTTGAGAAGTTACATTCATCCTTAGGAGTCACATTCAGGACACATTTTACGCCTGACACACATCTGCTTGATGGCT